CCCAGCTCTCGGAGGCCAAGGCAGGAGGATGGCAAGTTCAAGCCCAGCTTGGGTTACACACAGAGCTCAGCTAAGCCTGAACGATACAGCAAAAAATAAAATTAAAATAAGAGAGAAACCAGATGTTTCCCAGTCTCTGATTTTTCTTTTTTCTTAGCAACTCTAGACACAAACAATATTTTAGTAAAACCCAGACCCGTACATCTGTCTTTGCAGGGGTGAACGCTGGGCCGCCATGCCCGTTTCGCAGTGAGAGTGGAGACAGCAGCCCTGCACTACTGGGGACGGGAGGCTAAGTCTGCTGTGCTGAGCTCTGCCCAGCAACGTGTGACCCGGTCCGCTCTGCGGTGCGGGCCCTGGGGAGACCGCCTGTTGCTCAGCTACTGCTCCTTGCCATTGTCGCTGAAGCAGCACCCGCAGGGGCATGAGGCGTAGTGGCTCAGGGGCGTCATCAGGACAGCGTTTGCTTTTCACGCACCATCTGTTGCCCTAGGACGGTGAAGTATCTACTGAGGCACCAGCATGGCCTCTGGTTTCTGAGTCTGAATTCCAGCTCCTTACTTCCTGTGTGAGAACCTTTCAGGCCCATCTCGTCTGCGGTATGAGCACAGTGACACAATTTACCACCACAAAGACGTCTGCATATGTCTGTGTTCTGGGACGCAGAGGACAGTGTGGCTGCGGCAGGAGGGTACAGGGCTGTCACCCCGTCTCTGCCTGCCTTTCCTTTTGCTCCAGATCTCCCTCTGCCTTCGCTCTGAGGAGGACATTTGGATCTACTTGAATAATCCAGGCTGGTGGGTAAGAGCATTAATTATATCTGAAAAACGCTTTTGCCATATGAGGTCACTTGTGTAGGTCCCACAGTTAGGACTTGGACAGATCTTTTGGGGGGCAGTACTCAATAACACAAAACTGAACACACATGCACACACACATCCTCCTGATGCCCTCACCCTGTGCTAGTTACTCCATGGTGTTTGCTACCTTCTAACATACTGTATTTTTTTCTCATTTATTGTATTCTTCCGCTAGAATGTAAGCCCCCCCAGGAAAGAGATTTCTGTCTGTTATGCATGTTAATAATGTAACACAAGAATCTAGACCTACAGCAATGGCGGACAAGTAATAAACACTCACTAAATTCTCAGTGAATGAATAGCATGTGTTATAGGTAACCAGTGACCTAAATAGCTCCCGTCAGACAGCAGGAGTCAATGCAATACAGGCCTGTCAAATAAAATGGGACGAGTTGTAAATCTACTCTTAGGAAAACCCTGAGAGATAGTCATTGGAGATGTAGAGTTATTCCATTCCCAATCCACTCTTTCTAGTTATTTGGACTTTTTTGCTCCCCCTGCCCCACCAGATTTCCAAATCCTGAGCTGCCCCCTTTGGGAGCACTGTTGTGGGAGATTCAGTGTTAAGGGGCTCATGAGTTGGCTGAGGTGGAAATTGCTCCCCCAAAACTGGAAAAGTTGCACTTCCACAGAACACGCGTCGGGCTCTGGATAAGGCAGGCAGTTACTCATGCTTGTGAGCATGGTGACTGATAACAGCTTCTGAAGCACAACTTAACGCTGTATAATTATAAATCAGAGGGAATGATCAGTCCAAGATGCGGCTGGCCGGGCTGCTGACGGCCCAGGCTGAGCAAACCAGGATTCCGTGGACAAACAGACGGAGGGGCTCTCTGCGCCCGGCTGCGGCCAGCACCACGCTCTGCCACACTCTGTCCCGAGCTCACGCGAGCTCACCGCCCTGTGTGAGGCAGTTGGGCAGGCCGACGTCCCTTCCTGGTGGTGCGCATGTGCTCGCGCTCAGCCTGGGGATTTCGTGCCTGTACGGAAGATTCCTTAATTCTTCTTTTCCCATACTCCTTCCCTCCCTCAACCGTTATACCTACTTCTTCATTTCCGAAATAATGACCTTCAAGCCTGAAAACAGTAAAACGGTGAGCTGGTGAAAATGTAATTTTTAATGGTATTTGTTATTTGCTTTATGTTATTTTTGACTGACAACGTAATTCTATAGATCGACGGCGACGTGTGATGTCAGGATACACGGACAGTGGGCACTGATTTAAGCTACCTCTCCTTTTGCACACTCAGCACCTCTGCACGGCCAGAGCAGTTAAAGTGTACTTTTAGCAATTTTGAAAGACAGAATGCAAAATTATAAACTACTGTTACTCCGAATAAATCACTAACCCTTCCTCATCCCGTCTAACAAATTCTGCGCCGTTTGACCACTCGCCCCTGTCCTTGCCCTGCTGCTCATAACCTGAGGCAGCTCTGGTTCTGTAACCTGGAATCTCAGGCTCCGCACATAAGAGAGCTCGTGCAGTCTATATATTTCTGAGCCTGGCTGACTGACTTAGCGTGGTGTCCTCCGGGTTCAACCATGCTGTGGCAAAGGGCAAAATTCCTTCCTCTTCACGACTTACTAATGTTTGTCGGGCGTAGGTACCACACTTTGTTCATCCGCCCCTCTGACTAGACGCTAGCCAGCTTCTCTGCCTGCCCTGGCTACTGCGGATAATTTCACAACAGGCACGTGACTATGGTGTCCCTTTAACACGGGGCTGCTCTTCTTTTGACCTATACACTCGGTAGGACTGATGGATCACGTGGTAGTTCTATTTTTTGAGGAAAAAAATGTAATTTGTTGCTTGAAGTTTTCTTTGTTTTTTGTTTCAGTTTGGCGTGGTTGCTCGGGTCTTCTGGAAAGTTCACAGAACAGTAGTCTTTAAATAATAATCTCTGTTTCTTTTTGTTGACTCAGTTTTATTTTTGTTTATTTATTTTTAAATTTTTTTAGTATATGTTCGTAGGTTGGCAGAGATATTGGCAATCATTTATTTTTTAAACAGTGAGATGTATTTTGGAGAGCATTTAGAAAATAGAGATGAACAAAAGCAAGAGAATCTTTTAAGTCACTTCGAACCCCGCTGCCTGAGACTGTCATGGCCAGGCTTGTACTATGTACCCTCTGCCTCCCCGTAGCTCACACCTTTCGTTCAGATGTCCGTCCAGGCTCTCAGGGACCATCTCTGCAACCTGCCGACATCCTGGGCCTTGGGCCCTGTGTCACACCTCAGCTCCCAGACCCCCTCCTGCAGAAGTCTTCTCCATGTGTACGTGCTGTGAGGACCCAATCATAGGCATCCAAAAAAGATAAGGTGGCCCTCGCCCAACCTCTCCCTGCCTAGACATTCTGGCTGTAGGTCTGTCTCAAAATTACTATCGACCTTTGGCTTCCAGCAATCAAAGAATAAAAAGAATAAGCTCTCTTCATTATTTATTCATTCACTGGACAAATACCAACTTCCTGCTCTGTGTCAGCATTTCCATTATCAATTGCTTCAAAATGAACAACCTCAAAACAAATGGGTCTTTAATAAAAGCAATTTATTATGACTGCTCGCAGATTAGTGCGTCGGCTGAGATCATCTGGGGTCCCATGTGGGGCCTGTGTGGCTCGATCAGATCCAGCTGGAGCTGGACGTACACAGCCCCTCACGGGGCTGCTCTCCGTGCTCCTGGGACTTTCCCGGTCCGGGCAGCGTCTGCCGCCCAGGCCTCCTCCACTCCGCTTCGGCTTTGCACACCGTGGTGTCTTTAGTACTCTGCACCCGTGTGGGGCAACTGGCTTCCCCAGGTGAAAGCAGAAGCTGCCAGGCCAGTTAAGGGTCAGGCCTAGCATAAGTGCAGTGTCACCGCTGCCAGCGTCTATGTGTGAAAGGCATCACGGGGCTAGACAGGTCCAAGAGGCAGGCGAGTAGACGCGCCCTCGTGATGGAAGAGTGGCGGTCACACTGCGGGAAAGCGCGTGGGTGGGAGGTACCCTTGCCAGTGCCTTCGGAAGCTGCCCTCGGCCCCCGGTGGGCACATGTGTGTCAGGCTGCACAGCAGCGAGGCCGCTCAGCGCTTCGAGCTGAAGTCTAGGAGCCAACAGAGGCACTACACGAACCGCACGTGAGATGCATTGTTTCCGCACGGAAAGGCTACGCGCTGTGAAGGAAGAGGGAAGGACAGGAGAAGAGCGCAGGAGATTTGTGGGGCACGTCTCGGGGTGCAGAGCTCCTAGACGGAGACTGAGGCATGGGCAGGAAGTACCCGGGCAGGCAGCGCTCCAGACAGGAGCTGGGTGCGAGAGAGGAGGGCGGGGGGGCAAAGGAAAATGGGTGCGGAGGGAGGGGAGGGCAGTGAGCCCGCTGTCTGCTCAGGGCCTGGCACCTGAGTGTTTAGAGTTTTTTCTCAGCACAATAGAAAACACTGGTTTTGTTTAGGTTATGCTCAGCAAGAAACAGAAACTGTAAATAGTGTAAGGAAGGTAGAAATTCTTCTCTCTCTCACACGAACTAAAAGGCTGGGGTGCCTATTCCTAGCATCAGGAATCTAACATCTTTCATCAACCACCATCTACAAATAGCTTACCTCTACCTCATTATGCAGGATGGCTGCTTGAGCTCCAGCTATCACATCCACATGGCAGCAGGCAGGAAGGTAGAAGGGTGTATTTTCTCTTTTTGAGATACATATCACTTCCACTTTCTCTCACCAGCCACAGTTTAATCGTATAACCAACAGGATCTGCTAGGTTGGCTGAGGGGTGGCGTCTATTCCAAGTGCTCATGTGACTACTAAAAGGATCGGCGCTTTACTACCAAGTCAGAAGGAGAAAGTGAGCAAAGCATCGGTCTCTGCCGCACTGCGTTTAAAGAGGGGCATTATTCTTTGCATTCTCAAAATGTGCAGCAGAAGAGAACACAGATGTCACTGTCAAAGGTCTCAAGCTCTACAGGGCCTGCAGTGCACACACCGCTCCTCTCAGGGCCAACTCGGGCATTCGCCAGACTCCCCGGAACCTCAGCTCCGTAAGAAGGAGGGTCCCCCCAGCTCATAAAAGTCACGTAAGAGCCAATGGGGTAATAAGAAAAAGAGGGGTGAGCGGAAGCGGGAGCCCGCAGTCCCTTTCAGGGAGGATGTGACTTTTGAGAACCGCTTAGAGATTCAGAAGCGCTGAGGAAGTAATCGGCGCTGCCCCTTTCCTCGCCTCCTCCCGAAGCCGGCAGCCAGGCCGTGCGGGCGGAGCGGGAGGGCCTCCCACCCCACGCCCTCAGCCCTGCTCCCGGCGCAGCAGCGGACGCGGACGACAGAGCGAGCTTCCAGGGACGCCGGGCGCGCGGAGGAGCGGCCCTCGGCCCCGAGGCCCGGTCGGTGGCAGAGGTGCGGACCCAACCGCAGCCCGCGTTTCGGCTCAGAGAATCTCCCCGCCGCTGCGCTGAGATTAGCTGTTGTTCGTGGCCTGCCTGCCGCGTGGCTGCGCCGCGCCTCGTTCTCCGCTACCGCGCTCAGTCCTCCGCGGGGGAGAGGCGGATGCCCGCTGCCCGGGGCGTCCAGGCAGGACGTGGGGCCACCGCGCCCCAGCCACGGGCCAGGGTGTGGCTTGCCGCGCACGTGGCCGCGGGAGGAGGCACCGGAGGGCTAGTCCGGCCGCACTGGAAGCGGCGGACGCGGGCAAGCGCGGGCCCTCTGCGGTCCTGCGGGCGCGCCTCCTCCAGACGGGCGAGCTGGGTGTGACCGAAAGCCTGCCCGAGCTCCCACGCCGCCGCCCGGGTGTGTATTCCTCGTCAGTCAGGCTGCACGTGCCGGGCTGGGTGAGAACGCAAGCCTTTTCCGCGCCTTTGAAGAGTGGGGCGTGCAGTCTACGCAATGGCGCTGTCTCCTGGGGCATGGGACCGGGGTGGAGGGAAACCCGCAGGCTGAATTGATGGGGAGCAGAAGGAGCCCAGGTTTTTCAAGCTGATTATTTCTTATTGGTACATTTTGGTGCCATTCATTGTAGGGGATTTGTACCTGTGCATGAGTGTCTTGCTTCTTTTTCCCCCCACTCCCTTTTGCTCCCTCAAACCCTCTTCCCCTCCTTATCTGCGCAAGCTTTGTTTCCACTTTTTTCTTTCTTTTTTCCTTGTCCGTTTCTAGCTTTCCCTCCCCGCTCCCTTGCTCCCCTTCTCATTTGCACATTTTCTTCCCATTTCACCATATCTGTTATACATTTTGATCCTTATTTGCACTTTTGGTTTCTCACACCAGAGAAACTATGTAGTATTTAAACAGGTGTGTCCAACTTATTTTACTTAAGAGTATCCCCTCAAGGTGCATCCATTTAGCTAGACATGTCTCAAGCTTATCCTTCTTTATGGCAGAGTAGTATTCTGTTGTATGAAAAAAAAATCCACATCTTCTTTATCCATTCATCAGTTGATGGGCATTTGGGCTGTTTCTGAAATTTAGCTAGTACAAGCTGTACCACTATAAACATGGGTGCAAATATATCACTGTGGTAGGATGCTTTTAATCCTTCTGGGAAGACACCAAGAAGGAGAATACCTGGGTCAAATGGAACCTCTAGTTTTAGATTTTTGAGGCATCTCCACACTAATTTCCACAGTGGTTGCATGAGTCTGCATTCCCACCAACAGTGGAGAAGGGTTCCTTTTCCTCCACAGCCACGCCAGCATACATTATTGGTTCATTTCTTGATAATAACCATTCTTCTGGAATGAGATGGAATCTCAATATTGTTTTAATTTTCATCTCTCAAATGACCAGTGATGTTAAACAGTTTTTCATATGTTTATTTGCTGTTACTAATTTTTCATCAAGAGGTGTCCTTTGTTAGATTGATTCCTAGGTAGTTCAAGATTTTGGAATCTTGAAAGATTTTGGATGCTATTGTGAAAGATGTTATTTCCCTAATTTCTCTCTCAGTGAGTTTGTTATTTGTGTACAGGAATGCTATTGATTTTGGAGTATTAACTTTGTGTCCAGCTATGCTACTGAGTTTGGTATAAATCTTCTAGTTTTTTAGTGGAGTTTTGGGAGTCTTCTGTGTACAGTATCATGTCATCTGAAGATAATAATAATTTAATTTCTTCCTTTCCTATCTTTATTTCTTTTATTTCTTATTCTTGTCTAACTGCACTGGCTAATGCTTCCAGAACTATATGAAATAAGAGTGGTGACAGTAAGCACTGTTGTGTTGTTCCTCATTTTAAAGTAAAGGCTTTGAGTTTTTGTCCACTTAGTATGATGTTGACTACTGGTTTGTCATACATGCTTCCATCAGATTGAAATAAGGACAGTCTATTCCAATTTTCTGTAGGGTTTTTATCATGAATGGATCTTGGACTGTCTCAAATGCTTTTTCTGCAACTTTTGAATTGGTAATATAGTTTTTGTCCTTGGCTCTGTTAATATGGTATATTATACTTATTGAGCCATCCCTGCATCCCTGGGATGAAACCTATTTGGTCCTGGTGTGTGATCTTCTTGATGATCTCCTGCATTCTGTTCACCAGTATCTCATTGAGGACTTCTGCATCTATGTTCATTAGGAGGACTGGCCTGTAGTCCTCTTTTTTGGTTGGATCCTTCTCTTTGATATCAGGGTAATGCTTGATTTCCAGAATAAACTTGGAAATATTGTTTCTCTTTCAGTTTCAGTAAAGGGTTTGAAAAGTAGCAGCATTTGGTCTTCTATAAATTACTCAGACAACTCAGCAATGAATCTGCAGGGTCTGGGCTTTTCTTTTTGCTAGGTTTTTTATTACATCTTCAGTTTCATTGATTGATACTGACTTATTGAGAATTTTTATATCTTCTTAATTTGGCTTTAGTAATTCATATATATCTAGGAATCTGCCCATGTCTTCTGTGTTCTCCATCTTATTAGAGTAGAGGTGATCACTCTTATCAGAGTTCAGAAGATCATCAGTACTTAGTTCAAGTATTGATGAACTTCTGAATTTCTTCAGGATGTGTTCCAGTTTCACCCTCTTCATTCCTGTTTGCATGGATGTCTTTTCTTTCCTTTTTTTGATAAGGTTGCTAAGGGTTTGTTAATTTTATTTAATCTTTCAAAGAACCAACTCTTTGATTCATTGACTGTTTGTATTGTTGGCAGGTTTCAGTAGTATAATCAGCAATAACAATAGCATCAAACACAGCCTAGAAAATGACAAACCATAGTAACTATTGCTTTGCAGCCTTTAACCATGTGGACTAGATTTGCAGTTATATAACAAAAGCTAAAATGAACCAGAAAATTGCATACAGTAAATATGCCCTCAATGTGGTAATTTTACCCTCAGGGGAGAAAATTAAACAGGGGTTGGGGGAAATAGAAAAATAGAAGTAGCATAATAGGAAGGAGGGAAGGTTGGAGAACAAAGGAAGGGCACACAGATTGTGGGGCACTAGTGAATAAGACAGAGGGAAAGAGAGAAGGAAGAAATAAAAACAAGAACAGAACAACAACCACAAAAAATTAGAAACAATGTTCACACTTACATAAAAACACGAACAAACAATCAAGAAAAAAATAAAAGAACAAATGAGAAAAGAAAAAGAAAAGAAGGAAAAAATGTCCACTTCCAGGCTCGTCTTTGCTGTCACTGTTAGAGTGGGCATACAGAGCACAGATCTGAGGTGATTAATCCCAGCAAGCCAGCCATGCATTTACAGTGGGGTAGTAGATAATCCTAGCAAGTCAGCACATTTACTTCCTCCGAAGTTCAGGCTGGTTTCTGGCTGTGAGTCTGGAACCCAATACTTTTTGCAGCCTGCACTGATCCCCGAGACTCTTGCTGACTTGACCTCATTTCTGCCTCGCCTTGACACTGGGAACAACTAGAGGGAGCCAGCCCACAGCTGCTCTGAGTTCCAAGATCACTTGGCCTCTCTCCAAGATGGTGACTAGCCAACCGCCCTCTCCTGGGGGACGTCTGAATCTGAATAACTCCCCAGCCACTGCAGTCCGCTGTGTCCACTGCTCTGCTCCACTGGTGCATTTCTCCATGGAGACCTCCGGGGTCACCAGTAGTCACTGTGCACCTGCAGGTTCAAACCACCCCCCACACAGTGGGCCAGGGCTCCGGCTGAAGGCGCTGCCGACCACCTCCTTCTTCTGCATTGAGGTCTCTCTCTTTGCTCTCCCCGTGGCCTCAATTCTTGCTTCAGATCCTTTCTGGGTCCTGGGGACCCACTTTCCTCCTCCTTCTCTTCCTTATGTTGCTGTATTCCAGTGTCTGGACTCCAAATCTCAGAGAGGCTGTTTTCTTGCTGTTCACCACTCCGTCATCTTCCCAGAAGTCTCTGAGTTCAGTTTACATGCTGAAGAATTTTTTCTGTTTTGGAGTGATTGTCATGGAAAGGAAAAGGCCATTGTAACTTTAGATAACTTCTGCATCATGAAGCTGCAGTTTTTCCTAAAAGTACATTGATAAAATTATAATTTTCCTTGTCTCCCTCCTACCTATTTCTTCTACCTCACCCATCACATTTCCACTTTACAGGTGGGGGAACTTAGGCCTCAGAGCCCACAGTTCCTACAGTCTGATAGGAGGAAGTCAGATCTCCCAGCCCTGAGCACAAACCGCTGCCTGCCCTGCATCCATCATCCCAAAGCCTTCAGAAGCCTTGCTCCTAATTCAGCCCCAGTTCTAGGAGGTGTCCTGTTTGCCAGACCCTATACGGAGTGCTGGTGGTGTGGAGACAAGACATCATCCTCACCATCCAGGAGCTGACAGGCTGGTGGAGAGACGGATGGTTGAACTGAGACAGTGGGCCCAGGAAATGAGCGCTGGGTCTGCTGAGTGACAGCTGAAGGAGGAAGAAACAAGCTGCCCTGGAGACCTGGCCAGGAAGAGTCAGACAGAGGTTCCAGGAGGAGACAGCGCTGACCCAGGTGGGATATCTCGACTCACAGCCATTGAATGTGGATGTGAATAGCACATGTTTCACACCCACATAAATATGCCTGCTCTCTGACGACGTCCTTTCGCCCCATCCCTGAGGTCCTCCTAGTTGATTTGCAAGTACCATTCCAGTCGTCCCGGGTAAGAATGGCTGGGTGGGCTTCCCAGGGCCTCAGCCCATCTGCCTCATGGCTCGGGCATTTGTTTCACCTTAATTTCTGTCAGACTTTGGACCAAAAGGGCCTCTGTGAGCCCCAGAGGAGGCCAGCGACCAGCACCACCTGCCCCAGGCCACCCCAGCAGACAGTGAGCCTGGGTGTTTTCTCCCTTCTGCTGCCTGACTGTCCTGGCACGATGACCTCCATTCTACCCTGCTATCCCGACAATAGTCGTCTCTGTGAAGAAGCCTGGGTCACATTTGTGCTCCTTTGGACAATGTGAGGCTTAAACTGGGGAAAGTAAAGCATGTGTTCTGTCATCGACAACTTTATGGGAGTCTACACACGGAGGCGTCTATGCCTTCATCCGTCCACCCAAATGTTCCCCTTTCTCTTTCCCTTTCTCTTCACAGGGATAGGAGGAATGGAAAATCTGGCCTTCCTGCTGTTACAGGACAGGAAGGTCCAGAAAGGCCACAGCAGCTGAAGAGAGGCAGCCCAGGGGCCAAACTTCCTGAAAAGCCCAACATTTTGAATACTCAGTCTTTAACCTGGAGCGCGGCTGGCACAGGACTTCCCCCAAAGGATAGTGTGAGTGCCCCAGGCTGACAGAGGGCCGGGGTGAGGTACCTAACCTCCGATGGAGAGAAGCCTGAGCGGTCCACAGCAAAGGTGTGGGTGGCTGGAGAGTAGGCAGTGGGGGCGAAAGCTTTCCCTAAGATCGGAAGGAAGAAAAGATAAACCGGGAGGCAAGAGTAGAGGGAGGGAAAGAATGTACGCACAGAGCGACTGAAGGAATTAAACTGAGAGCTGGGCTTCATAAAACCAGATTTTGTCAGAAATGCCTGCCACCGGTTAGCAAAGGTTTATAACCCACATTTCATATATATATATATAGGCATATATATAATGGCAAATGCCTATATATATATGTATTTGCCATTATGATTAGAATTAGCTGTGGTACATGGTATAATAGTAATATTAATAATAATAGTAGTAATAGAATCCCAGTGTTGGAGAAAAGCAAAAGTGATTTTAAGTCATGTTGCTGGCATGTCTTAGCTGAATGACCTAGGATAAGCCTCAGTTTGCCCATGATAGAAATGGGTATGCTAACTCCCGAGCAGGGAGGAGAAGTGCTCACCACGCTGGCTCCTGGCACTGGGTTCTGAGAACCCGTAGCAGCCTCCTTTCCTTAAGGGCTTAGAAAAACAAAGTTCTGGCCTGACTGCTCCTGCAGTCGTGATGCTGAGAGGACCCTCCAGGAGGGCGTTTCTACCACAGCTCAAGGGCATGGGTGGGCTGAGCCTGAGGACCCGGGGCAGACGTTCTGCAAGTGCTGAGTGATGTGGGAGGTGCGGGCGGCTCCAGTTCTTAGCGGGTGTTGGGCTGATGATCGCTAGCTCCCCGGTTTCACACATGTCAATCTGTCTTGTCCTACCCCTGTGGCACTGCCCTGTGATACCTGGAAATCAAGGCGCCTCCATCCACTTCTCTCCTCTGTCTCAGACACAAAGCAGGTGGGCGTTCCTATTCACGCTGTCAGAACGGGGCCCCGTCCACTGCGGGGGCGCAACACAGTCCAGTGAGGCGCAGGCCTGTGTGCCTGCCTGCGTGTGTGCACGCGTGTGCTTCAGGCCTGAGTGTGTGCACACCCGCTGTTCCCCTCCCACGTGGCACTTTCCATCTGCCCCTCCCCTCTCTCTCACAAACTGTTTGAATAAATTCATTCCCAACCCTTTAAAATATTTCACCTTTAAACCCACAAGAATGTTAAGATTCTATCTGGCCTTCAGGAATTATATATCTTAAAAGTCACTTCAAATTGCCTGACTACTAATCGAGGAACTTTAACCTTTTGGACTCTTTCAAGTTGTTCCATGAGCAAATCTGTGTCCTGTTCTTGTTTTGTTTAACAAGGAAACTAATCATTTTGGCATCAACCTTGTTATGGATGTTAAGAAACCCCGCAGTACATATTTGTACCCTAGAGGTTCCTAACAGTTCACAGAATTGCTTGTACTCAAGAAAAAAATAAAATAAAAAAGGTGATGTTTTCCAAGTAAAGAAGATGGTTCTCCAGGAATAGAGTTAAAAGAGAATACTTATGTAAGTAACTGCTTCGGAATGTGCTATTAATACACTGATTTCTTAAAAGAAGAACACAATGCAAATGTACCCTACAGTGTTCTTGAAACAACTTCTTGAGCAGTCTGCCCTGCGGAATAAGATATGGCTCTTTATACACAAAGAACTAAAAAAATCAGACCTCCAAATTCAAAGACCCAATCCAAAAATGGGCATCAGAGATGAACACACACTTCTTAGATGAAGAAATACAAACAGCAAATAAATATATGAAAAAATGCCCCACATAACTCATCACTAGAGAGATGCAAATTAAAACAACACTGAGATTCCATGTCACTCCAGAAACAATAGCTATTATCAAAAAATCAACTGATAACAAATGCTGGAGGGGCTGTGGAGAAAAAGCAACCCTTCTCCACTGCTGATGGGAGTGGAGACTGGTACAGCCACTGTGGAAATCAGCATGGAGACTCCTATAAAAACTAGGATTGGAGGCCCTATTTGACCCAGATATTCCCCTTCTGGGTATTTTTCCAGAAGAATTCAAAACATCATACTACAGTGATATATATGCACCCATGTTTATAGCAGCACAATTTGTAATAGCTAAATCTTGGAAACAATCCAAATGCCCATCAACCAAGGAATGGATAAAAATGATGTAGTCCTTTTATATAATGGAGTATTACTCAGCCATAAAGGATTAACTGGAGAGTTTTATAGGTAAATGGATGCAACTTAAGTTCATACTCATAAGTGAAATAAACCAGACACAAACGTGTAATGTGTAAGCATCTCCCTAGTATGAGAAGCTGAAAGAGTGAATGTGATCCAAAATGTACACTAGATATTGTAAAATGGGAAGAAATTTCAAAAAGAAAGAGCAATTGGTTTAGGGGAATGGGAAAAAAGAAGGGAAAAGTAAAAGGAAAAAATATATATGTGTATATAAAAGATAGTGATGCTGCTAATTTCTCTCGGTTCATTGAAAAGATAGGTTTGTGCTAATATTGTTTGGACAATTAAATGCTGATATACTCTGAGTAACTAATTTTAAAATAACAATAAGCAATGTGTTGATCATTGTTACCCTCCTATCATATTGTTTTGGAATTTCTTTTTGTTTTTTATTTCCTTTTCCTTAAAATAAAAATTTGAAAAAAGGATGCTGCTCTCTCGTTAGAAGAATCAAGGGCTCCACAGAGAAGTAGAATTTAACAAGTACTTTGGGCATATCTCTAAAAGAAAGAAAAAAGAAAAGCTAAACCTTATTAAAACTGTGAAAACAATGGGCTGAAATGAAATGATTCAGTACAATTTGTCTAGATAAAAATATTGGAACACGATGAAATTCTTTTAGCCTTGGTATGTGAAATACAGTTGCTACATTTCCCTTAGAACCCATGCGGTATTTCATATCAGCTATTTAGGTGTGTTTGATTTTGTCACAAACTTATTAATATGGTTGATAAAAGAAACATTTTAATGTTGATGAAGAGACTCCTTTTAAAAATAACTTTCATTATACACAGAATATATAGAGGAAAGAATAAAAATCACTCATATCACAATAACAGGAGAACCATTATTAGCTTTTTTATCTCATCCTTCTGGCCACTTTTATGCATAAACAATGTATAGAGGAGAGTGAGGATTTTCAAGAATTCAGGGGGTACAGTGTGGAATTTTAAGAAGGGCAATCAGCATAAGTGTCAGTGAGAGGGTGACAGCGAGCAAAGACCTGAAGGGGTGAAGGAATGGGACATGAGATAACAGGAGGAGGGGGACTCAGAGCCAGGCGGGGCTGCAGGGCTGGAGCCAAGGACACAGGGGGAGGGGAGAAGGCGATGTTGGAGAGGACACTGCACCCTGCATATATGGGGAAAAGCACATGGCGGGGGCAGAGCACACAGTGCGCAGCTAGGAGCTACAACAGGACTCTGAGCAGGGGAGTCATATGAACTCACTTACACATTTTTTTTTTTTTTTTTTTTTGGTCTTTCTGAGACAGGATCTCGCTATGCAGTTCAGGCTGGCCTTGAGCTCACTTCGTAGCTTAGGCTGGTCTCAAACTGGCAATGATCCTCCTGCCTCAGCCTCCTGAGTGCTGGGATTACAGGCATGCACCACCATGCCCGGCCTGATTCACACTTCATAAAAATCCTTCTAGCTGCTGGGCATGGTGGCACTGTTTATAATCATAGCCACTTGGGAGGCTAAGGCAAGTTGGAGGCCACCCTGGATTTAAGGAAACCTGTCTCAAAATTTTAAAAAGGTTGGTGTGTAGCCCCATGACAGAGCATTTTTCTAGCATGCCTAAGGCCCTGGGTTCTGTTCCTATTACCTTTAAAAAAAAAAAGCAAAAGCTCCTCTGGCTGACTGGCTGACACATTTAGATAGATTAGAGGAATGGAGGCTGGAAACAGGGAGTCTGCTGAGGGGCCCCTGCAGCACAAGGTGATGGTGCCTGACCGGCACGGAGGCAGTGACGTTGGCTCCGGGGTCTGCTTTGAAAGCAGCACCCATAGGAACCTCATGGCGTGTGAATGTGGGGGTCACTAGGGGCACAGAGTCAGGGATTCACTCCGCGACTTTTCACAGGAGCACTGGGAAGCGTGGGCTTGCCTTTGTCTGAAATCGGGAGCTGCATTTGTTAAACATCCAAGCAAGACAGTGAGAAGACAGCTGTAATGAAGAATTTCTGGAACTGCGGGGAGAGGGCTGCAATGAAGATATACAGTCAAGAACCACTGACATCGGCATTGCATAATAAAGTCCTTACCCTGGGTATATTACAAGCAACAGAAATTTATTTCTCATCTTCTAGAGCACAGACGTCCCAGATTAAGGCACCAGCAGCACCAGTGTCTGGGCCGGGCTCACTTCCTTCACAGGGAGGTGTCTTACTGGGTCTTCAGATGGCAGGAAAGGTGAGAGAGCTGCTGAACACGGCCCCAGTGTGTCCCACACACTGTGTGGCTTGGGAGCTTGGTCCCCAGTGCAGTTGTGTTGACAGGTGGAACCTTTAGAAGTTGGGCCCTGTCGAAGGTGATTAGGGCATCAGGGCTCTGCCCTCCCAAGGGGTTGTGCCAGACCCACAGTGTCAGTTAGCTTCTGTGTGAATGGGTGGCTGTAAAAAGACAGCGCCTGGCAGCTCCTGGTTCTCTGGCTTTCAGTCTCACCGTATGACCTCTTCCACACGCACTCGCAGCACTGTTACATCTTC